ATTTTATTATTTTTATTTTAAAAAATTATTATTATTATATAAATATTAAATATAATAAATATAAGCAAAATTTTAATTATACAAATATAGATAATAGGTAAATTGAACAAGTCAATTAAATAAGTTAAGTAAATAATTTTAAATTTTTATATTTATTATTTGATTTGATATTTAAAAAGTATATCATTTTTATATTTATTATTTATTTTCTTTTATAATTTAAATATAATATTTATTAAAATGAATAAAATCCAAATGGTTGTACGAATGCACTTGGGCCTTCTGCCCAAATGGCAACAAAGCCACAGCGAAGTGCATTCCCCTCTTTTTTTTGACAACTATTCGAATCTGATTCTTGTAAACACATTAAAACGGTTGTACGAACATTCTGAATATTCGCCTGAGTCTTGTGCCTTGGGTTTGGACCTTCCCCTTGTCCTAATTGGTTCCACTCAACATCAAACGGTGTAGAAAATTAGAAGCTCTTCCCAATTCCCATACTGTTGCATGCTTGGGCCTTAGGCCTTATCCTTAATTCCTCACTGTTCGACTTTAGATTAGGTATATTGTATTAGCCCAATAAAATTGATCAAGTTTTTAACAATCCCCGTTTAGGACAGATGGGCCATTTCTCATATTGGTCTGTTTTCCTTTCAGAAGATTCTAATGCATGGTTAAAGGTCGTGGAAAGTTCATTTCTCGTGTCAATGAAAACGTCGATCAAATAAAATAGGGAAAATACCAAACTTAATCCCCAACTTTTAATATAAATATAAAGATATTATCTTACTCTTTTATTCCTATTTTTAAAAATTATTTAACCTAATTCTACTGCTAGTTACTTCTTTTAAACTCTTGATTAGAAATTCTAATTAAAATGATATAAAATTTCTAAGCTTAACCTTTATAGCTTCTAGGACAATTTCCTAAAAGAGAGACTATGTTAATTAGAGGAAAAAAAAATGAAACCTAATTTGGAGTTGACCAAAATAATAATAATAATAATAATAATAAATCCTATTCATTTGGGGTTTGTTAGCTTTTTAAAAAAAAATAATTTTAAGAGTTTTCATAAATCAAACAAAATTCTAGTTAAAATTTTTATTACAACTTAGCAAAGGTGACTAATGGTATTATGATAGGATTAGACTTAGTAATTTACAAAAAAAGAAAAAGAAAAAAAAAGATTACTTTAATTTAAATAAAAAATTAAAATAATATTTCATATTCATAGTAAAAGTTAGAGACTAGATACTGTTTTTACCTTATGAAACAGTATATGCTTTGGACCTTCTCCTTTCGGTTCGATTCTACATGAAATCAAACGGGAAGAAAACTGCCAACCGAGCCTGAGGCTCAGTGGTTGGCCCCCAAGTTTTAGGGCTTGGGTGAGGCGGATGTCAGGGCTTCGAGCTCTGCCACCACCGTGAACTCCACCAACTTACGACTTAATGGTCGCGCGTCTCATATGAGGGGGTGGAATGTTCACCAGTCTGGGAAATCCCAGTTACTAACAACTAACTCTACTAACTTCCTAACCATTACCTTGTCAGAAAAAAAAAAAAAAAAAAAAAAAGGAAGAAAACTAGAAATCCCTCGTGGGGTTTGTGTTCTGATTACCTGCTAGGTCCTGGGCCTTCTCCTTATCGTTCCACTTTAGGTTAGGTATTATTAGCTCAACAAAATTTTTTGATAGGAGCCCAATAAAAAAACTTTTATTATTATAACAAAAACGTTTGGGCTCAATTTCTTATGATCCATTCGGAATGGTTTTGGGGCCGAATTATATATATATGTTCATTTGGAGCCTAATAAGAAGTCCATAAACTGTTAACCTCAAAAGTCATATGATCTTAGCCGTCAACTATCTGGTCAAAACGATGACTGTCAGAATTTCTCAGCGAAGACCCAAACATAAAGCTTTGCGCCTTTTGCTTCCATGGATCATATTTCGTCTTCTGCAACGCATTTCCATCTATCTTCTCTTGGATCAAGTCAAGATACAAACATTCATTTTCTTCTCCAAAGTTTTGAATTAATCCATCGGCGAATCTTTCTTTTTTCTTGAAACCCAAAGACGTTCTTCTTGATTAATAATACCATCACCCGAATCGAACCCACATTCAGTCTTTTTCAACGCGCGTGCAAGAACTTCGTAGTATTCAAACCCAAAACCCTGCAAGCACTTGTCAGATTATATGCTCAGATATGGCACCCCCGCCTTCTTGTAATGGGTATCGAGGACGGCTGAGAGGACATTGTGAAGGAGGGTTGGTAGTGCACTTGAGATCAATCCTCAATGGCACAAATACCATCCAAGACGTTAAACTGTGGTGCCCGTCTTATGGATTGGGGTGAGGCGTGTCTTTGGGTTGGAAGCATACCAGAACAAATTAAGAATTTGCAAAGGAATTACAATGGATACAAGACGTAAAAGCAGAGGATAATACCCTGGAGACACTGGAACGCACGGAGCTAGCTAGCTTTGAAGAATTGGCAGTCGAAAGAGGAGATTAGACCTGCATCTTGGATCTCATTCAATCTCAATACTCATCTCCATAATATAATGTGAACAACAAAGAGTCACAGAACGTGATAAAAAACAGGGGTTAAAGTAAATGAAATTTCTATGAGGCAATTAATCAAACACTTGGTGTGCAACAGAAAAGATGAACTGAATTGAAGATATTTATTCAACTGATCTGTGCCCATTTAAATAGAAAATGTAGAGCGACAGATTGCACAATACAAGGAATCAATGACTCCACGATCTGCAAAAAAGGAAACTAATCTTATCTCTAAAAATAAGGAACCATACTCCACTAAGTAAAGACTCAATAACAAACTTGGACTCTGTCAAATTATAAACTAATCCTGCAATTTATCTTGAAGACACGTAAACCAGAAATTGACAGCTAAGCAAAGAAATTGACACCAAAGCAAAAAACCCATTTCAGCATTATATTGTAACAGAACGAAGGCTTTATGTTATGATCCATTCCGCTTTCCTCATCAATCTTTACCCATCATAGCTTTCAAAGCTTCTTCAAAGTAGTACTACAGTTAATAATAATAATAGTAAGTCTAACTAAACACCAGCAAATTAATTAAAGAAGGCAGGAGGAGACTAGATTTAGGATTTGCATTACTGGGATAAAACCATCCAATGGAATCAATACATTGAAATCAAATCACTACACCAAAATCATCCACACATTTTGTTTCCAGGTTCAAACCTTTCTGACTGATCAAGTCCTGTTCCATCCAAAGATGCAATTTATTGATATTTCAAAGCAAACTATCTAATAATCCATAAGCAAACATTTGTTTCATGAGTAAAGATAGGTACATATATTGCGACTTCAAGCATTCAGTCTTCTGCAATATAAAACACAGATTGAAATAAATAGTCTGGTGGCTCTTGGAAATTGAATACTATTAATACAAGTTCAACATGAATTTTATATTTTAAAAAGGATTTAGGGAATGAAAGAAATTTTTTGGGCACCGAACAATGTGGCAATTTAGCAGCATCAGCCCAGCTTACTGGAGAGCACCACTCGAACCCACAATGACTATTAAGAAAAGCATGGTCAATGCAGATCTATGGAATAAGAGATAGCATTAGGAAAGGAAACTACATGAGACAAGTGTAGACTGAGGGAAGTAGAAGACCCACTCACCATCTAGCTTGCCTTGAAGGAATCAGCCTCACACATCATATATAGTCTCACAATTCCTTGTTAACCCCGAGAAGACACAGGCATGATGTTCTTATCAGCTTCAGGAGGATTCTGTAACCATAAGAAAACAAATTGAAGGTGAAGGCAAAAATTAAGTAAAAAGGCTTATAACTAAAAATGGTTACACTGATTTGTGTAACAAAACGAATTTATTAAAATACCACAAATCTTGCAACATATTTAAATATGTTCATTTGGTAGTATCCATTTAGAT